TATATATATATATGTGTGTGTGTGTGTGTGTGTGTGTGTGTGTGTTTTAATTTCATTATAATTTTGTAGATTTTTTTATCGTCTTTACCACTTGGTGGCTATACTGTTGTAAAATGTTGAGAGATTAAAAAAAGTGATCTATTCTCATAAAAGTATCTTGAAAAAAGGGAATCTATTCAATTCTAAGGTAATCTATTAAAAAGAAAGTTACAAATCAATATTTTCATAAAACAAAAAGCAAATAAAAAAACAAAGCAAATAAAATATAAAAAGAGGGACACTAAATTCGATTTTATACGGAAAGGGATAATATTTCTGTGTGTGTGTGTGTGTGTGTGTGTGTGTGTGTCTGTGTGTGTGTACCAAAAAGGGCGACATCGACATTGGTGTAAAACAAATCCTACAATTGGAGCGTTAAGGACTTTTATTATGAATTGTCCTTTACGATCCGTGTGTAGGTCACAGTTATCAGCTTCACACTTGCTTTCTCGTTGCGGCATGCTGTGACATCTCTAGTGAAAGGATGTATCTGCTCTTAAATAATTGAGTTAGCTTTGATTGTACTTAATATCTGTGTTTTTCTGTTATTACTAAAACGTGAACTATGATTTGTCAAGTTAGCTATAGCGCCTGATCCAACTATATAACCTTGACTAAATGGTTCAGCACTCTTACGTTAATAAGAACACATAGGGTTTTAAACAAATTATGTTACGGAATATTTGTAGGTATCAAAGGCAGTTTGGCCAGGTCATTTGGCCATTTTCTTTTCCTCAAGGGCAGCATGTTCCTAGTTTATTAACACACCTACAAAAGGCAAAATATGCCAGTGACACAACAGGTAAGATCATTACAGAAAGGTATAGAAGGACAAATCTAATGTACAGTCATGGCCAAAAGTTTTGGCAGTGACATACATTTTGTGTTTTGCAAAGCTTGCTGCTTAAGCTGTTGTGGTGGTCATTCACATTGTTTCTAGATTAATGTGTAGAGTGATCAGATGCATTTGAAATAATTGCCAAAAACTTCATTGGCCAAAAAATGAACTTTTCAAAAAACAATTTTTTGACCCTGAGACAAAATGACCAGCTAACATTAATTGACTAATCATATCAGCAGCACATGTGAATGAGTACTAGTGAATAGTGAATAAATCACTATCATACTAATTAGATTGTAAGAGCAGACTGATTGCTATAAAAGGAGAGAAGCGCTTCCGATCATTGTGTTCTTTTTAGCAATGGTTTCCTCCAAATAAACACTTGCAGTCATCATTGCTTTGCATCAAAATGGTCTCGCATGCAAGGAAATTGCTACAAAGAATATTGCACCTGAAAGAATCATTTACCAGATCATCAAGAACTTCAAGGAGAGAGGTTCGACTGCAGTGAAGAAGTCTTCAGGACGTCCCAGAGAGTCCAGCAAGCACCAGGACCATCTCCTCCTGAGGAGTCAGCTACAGAATCGTGTAACCAGCTTGCTCAGGAATGGCAGCAGGTTGGTGTGATCTGCACACACAGTGAGGTCAAGACCTCTGGACAACGGCCTGGTGTCAAGAAGGGCAGCAAAGAAGACACTTTTCTCCAAGAAAAACTTCAAGGACAGACTGAAATTCTGCTGGAAGTATAAGGATTGGACAGCAGAAGACTGGTGCAAAGTTATTTTCTCTGATGAAGCTCCCTTCCGACTGTTTGGTACATCTGGAAAATCGATTGTTTGGAGAAGAAAAGGTGAATGCTATCTTGAGTCCTGTGTTGTGCCAACAGTGAAGCATCCTGAGACCATCCATGTGTGGGGTTGCTTTTCAACCAAGGGAGTGGGCTCTCTCCTAATTCTGGCCCAAACTACTGCCATGAATAAAGAATGGTATCAAAACGTCCTGCAAGAGCAACAACTTACAACGATCCATGAGCAATTTGGTGATCCGTGCATTTTCCAGCACGTTGGAGCACCATGTCACACAGCAAGAGTGATAAAGAAGTGGCTCAAAGATCATTACATTGAAATTTTGGATCTGTGGCCAGGCAACTCCCTGGATCTCAATCCCATAGAGAACCTGTGGTCAGTCCTCAAAAGGCGAGTGGACAAGCAGAAGCCCACAAATTGTGATCAACTCCGTGAACTAATAATGCAAGAATGGATCACCATCAGTCAGGATTTGGACCGGAAGCTAATATCCAGCATATGTAAATATTGACTCATTATATATATTTTTGCCAATAAAAGCCTTTAAAACTTTGATAAGCTTATCATTGTTTCTCAGTATACCATAGAAACGTGGAAAAATAATCTACAAATACTGAAGTAGCAAACTTTGCAAAACATAATTTATGTCACTGCCAAAACTTTTGGCCATGACTGTATTGATGCTTGGTCTCTTTTTCTTTAAATCGCATTTTGCAGAGAGAAAGAAGTTCTACGAGAATGTCTCGATATCTCAAGGTGAAGGTGAGCATCATTCAGTGTTGGTGGCCATATAACACACATCTGCAATATAAAAAGAGAAACAAGTTTTCAACAAGAAAAAGAAGATACTCTTTGTGTTGTCTACAGGGGGCCTGTTTGAAATAAACCTTGACAAGCGAAAGCTAAAGACTCCAGGTGGAAAGCTGTTCACAGTGCCTAATGAAGCTCTTGCCATAGCTGTTGCGACAGAGTGGGACGTTCAGAAGGACACACTGAAGTTTTACACCATGCACTTAGTAAGCCATTATGATTAAATAAAGTTAGAGTTCCTAAATTGTATATATTAATTATATTACCAGCCAGTGATATTTTTGAAGTGGGATATAGAATACATACAACTTTATCTGCATACATACAGTATACTCAAAGCGATGCATCACAAAATGTGAACTATATTATCATCCTGCTCTAAACTGCTTAATGTGACTATAATGCATGAATATATAAATATTAACATCATGATTTTATTTAAAACTGATTTGAATCTGAATATTTTGTGGAAAGCACTGTACTTATAAAAATGGCATGGTTTGATTCAAATTGTAAATATGCTAATATGACTTATTTCCATCCATACAGACCACCCTTTGCAACACAGCGCTTGATAACCCAACACAAAGGACGAAGGAACGAATGATCTCAGCAGTTCTTAAGTTTTTGGAGACTGACACAATCTGGTATTTTGAGGCTCGCTTGATGGCATTTAATTAATTAAACCAAGATTTATATAACATTATAGCAATGGTAAATGGTATTAGATTTAAATCTAATACGTCTGTTTATAGTTTTATGTTTTCATTAATCAGATACCTTTGCTGTAGTTACAGAGTAGAAGAACCTCCAGGTCTTGTGGAACTTCAGGGAAATGAATGGGACCCTGTAATGAACTGGATAGAACAAAGGTCATTTTGGCTAGATTATTTACACATTTCGGCTAGATTATGTAATGGACACATTTGCAGGTGTTTTGAGTTGATTAGCTGATTGGCATGTCACCATATTCAAATTAGTTGAGATAGTGAATTAGTGGGTTTTTGTTAAATGCGAGCCAAAATCATCACAATTAAAAGAACCAAAGACTTAAACTACTTAAGTCTGTGTGCATTGAATTTATTTAATACACAAGTTTCACAATTTGAGTTGAATTACTGAAATAAATGAACTTTTCCACGACATTCTAATTTATTGAGATGCACCTGTATATAGCCACAAAATGGTGTATATGAACATCTTGTTATTTTTAGGTACAATGTAGTAATTGGCTCGTCCTCCAGTATAATGGGCCCTCAAATCCCAGAGGAGACTAAAGAGACATTTCAGCAGCACCTTAATTCCTACAATTTATGGTCTCTGACAGGTAAAGATACCATGGTGGCTTTTGCATTTTATGTAAATTGACATTTTTACATAAGATTGATTTTGCATCTTATGTGAATAGGCCTGTTTAACCAGTGCAGTTTTTTTTTGCTTCTGCAGGGCTTGAGTATGTGATCACTCAGCTGAAATCGCTGGTCTTGTCCTTTGGGCTGATTGACAGACACCTCAGTGTGGAACAAGCGGTTGTCCTGTCCAGACTTGAGGAGGAATACCAGGTATGGTTGCTTTTAATTTGTTCCGACTGTTTAATAATAATTGCTTTGTACCATTGCGTCCATATTAATGATTACTGTAATGCTGTTCTGTTCTGTCTTAGATCCAGAGATGGGGAAATGTGGAATGGGCCCATGATTATGACATGTACGAGTTGCAAGCACGAACTGCTGCTGGTGCAATGTTTGTGCATCTGTCTTCTGAAAGCACAGCTGTCAAAAGAAAAATTTTACAGGACTGATAAGGCCAAAAAGGCACTGTTTGAGACTGAAAAAATTTATTTTTGTTCTCTGTCCTTGTTTGTTTATATATATATATAGTAAGCTGCAGTGACACCAGTTACCTAACCAGTAAAATGCTGTTGCTGTCTAGTTATGTTTTGAGTAATAATATAGATGTCTAATTTAGTTTCAACGGCTACCACATGGAAAGACTCTAAATAAAAAAGTCCCAGTATTTCAATGTCAAAGCTGTGAAACGGTTTAGCTAATACGTTGGAAAATAAGTAAATAAAGTTTTGAAAAATTGTAATCATGTGCATGTCTAATTGAGTCATCACATTTATTTTTACCAACCCCAGTCTCATGGATTTCAAGAAGTTCCCTTAAGGTCAAAGTCACACATTAAAACATATGTTTTTAAGTGCATAGTATGAAAGGGCAATCTGATACATAACCGTTAATAATAAAATCTCAAACCCGCGGTATAAAAGAGTCATGTCAACGGAATCACTGCTGTCCCTTTAATTAGCTGGCGTGTCATTTCAATAGCGGACTGCAGGTTCGGCCAATAGCTTTGCTGCCCTGAATTACGCGACCAATGGGAGTCACCCATGGGCGGGGCTTGAGTGTTTACTGTCTTATTGACTTAGTCGTTGGGTATGTTGACAAGATGGAGTTCTTGCTGGGAAACCCATACAGTACTCCGGTGGGACAGTGCATTGGTATGTTTTTCAGAAACCAAATGATGCTTAAAAATGGTGTCGTAACAAGTTGACGCCTAAAGCGATGCATTTAGCTAAACCGCTTTATAGAAACTCAACATATGGAGAGCCTGTCAGTTAGCTGGCTAACAGCTAATGCTCATTCATGCTAGCTGGTCTAACTTACAGTTACCTCTCAATATGTGCTTCTTAAAATAGTAATATACTTAAGTTACAGATTAAAGGGAGGCGACATGCTTAACACATAATTAAAGTAAGATGAAATACTGCTCTCACTTACCAGCTGGTATTAGCCTGCTAGCCAGTTGACACTGCGTTTATCTCTCACACCCAGTTTCATAGCAAAAGCTTGACGTAATGTGTGTAACTGATTCATACTATTGATCAACTCCTATGAATGGACAATGTGTAAGGAAACTTACCGCTTGCTTTGGAAGATAACCAGCAACATGCTCATACGGCATAGCAGTTTGCAGTTGAGTGCGATGTCATCAGTGCCGATGTTATATCAGATTATTTTATTAGTGAAAGGCAGTAACGATGATCTAATCAGTTTGCCTTTTGATCTTTCCCAGAAAGGGCCACAGATGGCTCACTGCAAAGTGAAGACTGGACCTTGAATATGGAAATATGTGACATAATCAATGAAACAGAAGATGGGTGAGACATGAAAGATGCATGATTTATAGCATTTAACAAGTTGAATTAAGTAACCTCTGTGCTGATATATTCCATCAACCTTAGGAAGCCTACAAACATTGTTACACAAATCCAGAAGATGCTGTCATTGTTATAGTTGCGCATGCGTTTCATGCTAATAATGTTTAATTATGGCTTAATGTCGTGCCATCAGTTATTTTGTGTCCATTTAAATCCATTGCAAGTACAGGACATTACATAAATTGAATAGTCATCAAAATGTGTTATTTATGGAACCTGGATATGCTTGCTTGCAGAAGATGATTCATTCACTTGACCTTGTCATTGTAACATCATAATAGATTGCTTTTTAGCAGTATAGATGTGTTATTTAGTTATTTATCTGATTTATAGGCCCAAGGACGCTATAAGAGCTGTGAAGAAGAGGCTTAATGGGAATAAAAACTACAGAGAGGTGATGCTTACGCTGACGGTGAGAGGCATACAATGGAAACAATTCCCTTTAGAGGAATACTAACATCTAATAATTCATTTTTTTAGATTGTCCTGTTCATTTTGATTTTCATAATTTGTTCAGGTTCTTGAGACATGTGTAAAGAACTGCGGGTACCGGTTCCATGCACTCGTCACCACCCGGGACTTCATTGATGGCATTTTGGTGAAAATCATATCTCCTAAAAATAACCCACCTGCCATAGTGCAGGACAAAGTGCTTGCTTTGGTACAGGTATGGACTGGATTTTTGGTTTTGACTGTTCAGTGAAGGAAATAATGTTGTTTTGTAGTTTAAACACAACATGGGGGAAGGAAACACATGACATGAACCATTTCAAAAAGAGGGCATGATGGAGAGGTAGAGGAGGTGGACGAAGAGGTTGGTTACCTGATGCCCGGTAGTCAAGGAGATCTTGCTAATTCGTTGGCACACTCATTACAACCTAGTGGATCAGGTTTCTAGGTTTGGCTCAGATGACCATGGGTGACTTCAATTTGTTTGGTCTTGCGTTTAATGTGATGCCAGAAATTTCTCATGATGAAATTAAAATGTCTACAATGCCTTTGTCCAAAGAGAACTGGGCAAGTAAAGTTTGTGCTTTGCATTTTTGTTTGTCATTCAAACATTATTTAAAACAGTCACCTGATTTTAGTGCCAACACCACCATTCAAAAGGTTGAGGTCTGTAAGATTATCTTTTTTTAATTTATTTTATTGTTTTTTTTTTTAATGAAATTAATATTTATATTTAACAATGATGCATTTAATTGTTCAAAATTTACAGTAAAAACTTTTCAAATAAACATGGTTCCTTTTAACTTTCTAATCATCAAAGATTCCTGAAAACAAAATGTATCAGTTTCCACAAAAATATTAAAGCAGCACAACTCCTTTCAAAACCGATAATAAGAAATGTCTCTTGAGCACCAAAGCAGTATATTGAAATGATTATTATGTGAAGGATCATGTGACACTGAAGACTGGAGTAATGGCTGTTAAAAATAGAGTTCTGCCATCACTGGAATAAATTCCATTTTAAAATATATGAAAACAGAAACTGTTATTTTAAATTGTAATAATTTTCACAATGTTACCATTTTACTGTATTTTTGATCAAATAAATGCAGTTTTTGTGAGAGACTTTAAAATTTTCATTAAAAAATTATTGCGACCCAAAACTTTTGAATGGTAGTGTAGTGTTACACCCCTAGGGGTGGCGGGGAAGTAACATATAATATAAAAACAAAAAAGAAATGCAAAAAGAATGTGAGAGAGTTGGTTCTGTCTGAAATCCCAGCACCACACACAGGGTATTTACAGATTAAAGTCTCTGTACAGCATTTAAGAATAAGATAAACGAGATGACTGACAGCTGTGTTAGGTGTTATCCAGGCTGTCTCAGGCAGGTCATGACTGAATTTGTGTGTGTTCTGTTCACCCATTCAGTTAGCCTTATCATTTGCAGCTGTGTGTTAGAAAATGTTAGAAAAAGAGCAGCAATGCATAATTCTGTAAAAAAAAAAAAAAAAAACTTTTTAAAAACTTGCCCTGACGCGCATCAGTCCACAAGTAACGGCAAGACTTTTCAGTTCCAAGCGCAGGCTGATCCGAAACTAGGGGTGCTCCGATCAGGAGTTTTGTGGCCGATCACAGAAAGCAGTATCTGCTGATACCGATCTTTTAAAGCCTCCTTTTATCATTTATAACTATTTATAGTAATACTCCAATCAGGAATTTTAGACGTTTATTCAGGGCCTGAATCTTATTTTTGAAACTTGAGGGAATTCCTCTCTTAGGTGACTCTTGTGAGAGGGGAAGCAGCACGGACTGTGCTTTCACAGAAGAGTCCGCTACTGATCCGTGGCTGTTTACCACAAACACAACATTTATCCATTATTTTGATTTCAAATCCAAACATTGTCACTGAAAATGCTTTTTCAGCATTGCAATTCCTTTTTTACACAGTGCAGTAATACAGTCTTTCACAGACATGTTTAAACACAATAAATATAAGCAACACATTATTCAATGCTTTTTACTTTTGCATTTACTTCTAGATTTATATATTAAGCTGCTCAAGCAAGTGGCAACACATTTAAACTACTTTTCTTACGTTATCACAAACTTACCATTGATAGAAATAGACAGCTCTACTGCCTTTCCTTTTGCATTTAAATCTTTATTACAAGCAATCATGCGGTTTATAAAGAACTTTGTTTTCCTACCTCCATGAGTGCCATCTATTATTGCCTTATTTATCTAAAAGTGCTCTTTCTCTTTAAACTTAGCTAAAAAGCCATATATGTTGACTGTGAAACACAGTAGACTTTAATAATATGCATTTATGGTGTAATTACTACATTTTCGTGTCAATCCATGTTTATATTTACTCCAAACAATGCGCTTGCTTAGCACAGCAATAGACTCGGTGGGGAAACGATCTCTGCACTGCTGCAGACGCAACGCTACTGGAACGCACTGACGGACAGCAACCGTGTGCAGTGTGCATGCTTTATTCATCCGTTTACATGAGTGCTGAAAAAATACGCACCAGGTATGCACTGCAAACTGCATTATATGTGTGCGTTGCGAGTGTGCATGAGCGCCGAATGGTTAAACACTGGCAAGAATTAAAAAGTAATGCAATTTATAGATGTTAGTGATGATGTGATACTGCCTCGATTGTGCAAGTGACAATTCCTGTGTCAACTGTGCAGCTCGCTTATA